GCTACAAAATTGCCCTTCTAGAAGGTATATTTACCTTTAAAAAGTTATACATGTTTCATAAAAAACAAACAGATGACATGAAAACACAGTTTACCCTTAGTTTGATTTTTGATGTGTTTTCACAGTGAAAAGCATGCATTTCTGAAATAATCATTTAGTTTTAAAATAAAACAGGTTGCATTAAGAAGTATCTGATACTTAATGCGATTTTAATAATTCATTCTACACAGTGTTCCAAGGAAACACTGCTGTCCTTGGTTAATCTGCAAAAAAAAAAAAAAAAAATTAATTTAAGCCGCCTTGAACTTTGAATCATCACAATATCATCAAGAAGAAATTGCATGAGAAGTGAAAACTAAATCTCCTTCCTAGAACAGGAATGTGAGAGGAGTTCAGGAGGAAACTTGAAGGTAATCCAGCAATCACTGCGTAGTTTACGACCACAGATGGCTTGTCTTTGTACTTTAGAGCTGGAACGAACTGTGAAGTCGTAAATTCATCCGTTTTAAAGAAGCCCAAACTGAGGCTCAGGATGGGGAAAAGTCATTCTCTCTATTCCTTAAGTAAAGGTCGTAAATTTTTAACATACTCAGTGAAGAGTGATGGTGGCACTGGTCTATTGAGTACTTACTCTACAGCAAACATTTGCCTAACCCTTTCTGTATGTTACCTCATTTCATTTCTGCACCCAGCCCAGGAGGTAGGAAACGGTAATCTCATTTTAGAGATGAGGGAACTGAGATTTAGAGGTTTCTTCACTTGTTGACAGTAACACAGTTATTTAGAGGTAGAGCCCTTTCAACAACAACCACTTACTTCAGGCTTATCACACAAGTTTTTTGTTAGAAACCAAGGAATCAAATAGAAAGAAGGCAGGGTTTCCCCCTCCCAGTGATTTACATGTGAATCCCTAGACCCTAACATGTAAGATGCAGGTGTTAAATCAGTAGCTTTCAAATGTCTTTGACCACAACCCTCAGTAAGAAATATGTTTACATTGAAAACAAAGCACACGTTTGTGTATTTTATTTATATGTAACTTCATAGCCAAACGTTTTGTGAAATATCCTTGCTGTGTGCTCTATGTGCTAATACTTTCTATTCTATTCCATTCTATCCTGTTTTATTACATTTTTTTCTAAAAGACCAGTTACACACTGGCTGGTGTGGCTCAGTTGGTTGGGCGTCATGCCAGGCACTGAAAGGTTCCTGGTTCAATTCCCGCTCAGGGCACGTGCCGGGGTTGCAGACTTGATCCCCAGGAAGGAGCATGCAGGAGGCAGCCGGTTGATGTTTCCCTCTCACATTGATGTTTCTCTCTTTCTGTCTCGCTCCCTTCCTCTCTCTCTAAAAGCCAATTAAAAACTAAAAATTAAAATAAAAATTGAATTTTTTTTTTTAAAGACCAGTTACATTAAATGATTTTATAACCCATCTATGGGTCACATTTTGAAAAAGATACATATATTAAAAGGACACTTTTTGTGTGTGTGTATAAAACACTGGATACTGAAAGTCCTCCAGAGCTCCTTCAGCTATTTCTTCTTTTACCTATCTCCCTATCTTACTTGGGCGCTCATTTTGTTTTTACCAGTTCAGGAGGTTACCTGTGGACTGGCAGTTACGGTGGTGACGGTGGAGCTGCCCCACCCGAGCCTCATTTCCCCGGCTCAATTCTTACCTAATAAACAACTATCGTTTATATTCTGTGGCTGCGAATATCATTTAGCACAGAGCCAACTAGTGTATTCCCAGTTCTTTTTTCTGTTTTTAATTTTTTTCTGGCGATAATCACCCTATTTTTTCACCACTTGCAGTTTTCTATGTGCCTAAGCTTAATTTTTCCCCAGGTGTCCATCATAGCTTTCACATACCTATAAGTCGTGTTTGCCCTTAGGTCTGACTCTAACCGTATTATATCAGATGCTTTGCCAGTCCGCCTCATTGCAGAGCACTCTGCCCCCTGGGCCTGGCCCCTGCTCCGCCCGCCGCACACTCCTGGGCTGCCCTCTGCGCTTAGGCTGGCTCTTCTGTTTCCTGGGTCCCGGTTCTCTCTCTTTCTTGGTTCCCTCCCTCGTTTTGCATCCACACATGTTAGAAAAAGTTCCACAGAAAGAGAACATGGAGAAAACTTTCTGAGCGCATGCATGTCTTAAAATGCTTTTAGTGTAGCTTCCCCAGTTGGTCGATAAAAAGTTGGGCATAGAATTATAGATTGGAAACACTTTTCTCTCAGGATTTGGAGGGCATTGCTCCCCTGGGTGATAGTAACTCCCTCAGGTTCTGTGGACCACTGGTCTCTGTCACAGCGGCAGAGTCCTGTCCCTGTAGTGCCACAGCAGCGCACTCAGCTCCCTGGGCCGATGCCTCCAGACGAACACTAGGGACAGTGATAGCACCTGTTTCACAGGAATCCTCTGAGGACTAAGTAGTAGGCTAAAGAGACAGTAAGGAAGCAAGTGGATAGACTTGTGTCCCAGTAAGGTTTTATTTATAAAAACAGACAGCAGGTTGAATTTGGCCCGTGGGCTCTAGTTGGCCAACCCCGGCTCTAGACGAATCTCCCAGTCAGTGTAGAATATGTATCACTATGTGTGATATATAAGATATGAGCTTCTTTATAGGACATATTTACATGTTACTAATACACAACATGCCATATTATAATACCTGTGTGTGTGTTTAGATTTTTGCCAATCTTGTAGAAATCTAGCCTCATACTCTTGAAACGGTTGTTTCCCCCTGCACACGTGGCCCACTCAGCAGATTTCTTTATTGAATCCCCAAGTGCTCCAGTTGTACAGAGTTTTCTCCGTAACCTGTCCCGTGTTTCAATGGCCCAGGTCATGCTTTGCTTTTGGGGTTCTGCCTCTTGGCGCCGTCAGCCTTTCGCCTTAACTCTGCCCTCGGCGGCCGTGTTGGTGCAAACCCTTCCCCGCAGATCAGAGCCTTCTGGCCGCGGCGTCTCCCACCCTCCTGCCCGGACGGACAGCCCTTGTTTGGAGAGGAGTGTCTGTGACCCGTCTCCAGCTCCGTCCCGTGCATTCAGCCAGGTGCTGAGTGTCTCCTTCGTGAGCCGGTCGCTGTGGCAGGCGCTGTGGCAGGTCCCCGTCGCGCTCCGTGCCGCCTCTCGCCCTCTCCCTCCTCCTGCGGGGCGCATTCAGGCCCTGTGGCTTTGCTTTCTTTGCGTGGGGACACGGAGGCTCAGAGGAGCAGGAAGCCTGCCCCGAGGCACGTAGCTGACAGGTGGCAGGACTGGAAGCCAGAACTCCAAGTCCAGGATTCTTTCTGACAGTCCGTGCTCCCTCGCGCGAAGGAGATGGCCCTGATGAAATCTTACCATTCCAGAACAGCCTTTGCCAGTAAAACACTGAGGATGAATCAGCCTCATGTGGGAAAAAATAGGACTTGAAGTACAACCTCTTTGTCTGACAGATGTCCAAGGCCTCTGGAGTTCACTCCTCTGGACCGGGTGTGTGTCCCTCTGTGTGGACGAGACACTTCCCTTCCTATAAAGGTGTCAGAGCTAAACTACGGCACTTGGAGGTTTCGAGCCCAAGGCAGCTGCCTCCCCTCCATGGTCTGTGTGTCCATGAAAGGTAGTAGACCCTGGGCGGAGACTCGACCTCGAGTGGGCTTCCTCCTGCACCCAGTGTCTGAGAGGCCACAGATGGGAATAGCAGCGACCCTGTTAAAATCTGCTAACAGCAGACACTGTGGATAGTTTGTGTTCCAGGCACTAAATTATTGAGTCTATTTAATCCCTACAACATTTTCATGAGGTAGGTACTATTATTATCTCTAACATCCATTCCGAGAAATAGAGTCAGAGAAGTGACTTGTCTACAGTCAGCTAGTGAGTGATAGAAAAGTGCCCTTAATCACTACGCTGCACTCACCAGCTTGTCCAAAACCATGGGCATTAACCTCTCTAATCCCAAGTCCTCCCCCTGCCTTTTCTTTAAATACATCTTGACTGATTTCAGAGAGAGGAAGGGAGAGGGAGAGAGAGAGAGAAACATCAATGATGAGAGAGTCATTGATCGGCTGCCTCCTGCACGCCCCCAACTGGGGATCGAGCCCGCAACTCGGGCATGTGCCCTGAGCGTGAATCGACCTGCGATCTCCTGGTCAGTGCTCAACCGCTGAGCCACACAGGCCGGGCAAACCCAAGTCCCTTTTAACCCTTCAGGAGCTTAAAAATTACATAATCCTCCTAATCTAAATGCATAAAAAAATCCCCATTTATCTGATCCCCAAACTCAAAGCATCACAAAGGTCTCGGTTTACAGTTGTGATACAAATAAATAATACAATAATTAATAAATAGTAGTACAAGAATAAGCTGTTTATTTGCGTAAGCTCACAACTGTAAGCCTTCTTTGCTCACCCCTGTATTCCTGATACCCTAGAAAATACACACACTGTCTTAGTATTTGAATAGTCCTTTAAAATATTTAACTGTCTGTATCCGTATCTATATAGACAGGCGCTTACCTTCTGTGCACTCTTCTCACCGTTGCACTGAAATTTTCCTCGGCGAGCCACCAGTGGCCTTATAATTAGTAAATAAACGGTCCATTCTCCGTCTTTATTTCAGTTGCTGTATCTGCATATCGAATGTTAAATGATTCCCAGTTTTAATTTTTTACCCTCCTTCGGGTACCTCTCCCTTCGCCACAGGGTCAGCCTATGGAAGAAGCCGAAGCATTGCAGCGGTTTGGCGGGCGCAGCTTACTGTTCGCTGTAAGGGTGGCTGTGGCTATTGGGGGGCTAGGAGAAAATGAGAAGATCCATGTGAAATGGCGAGGAACAGCTTTCTTGCAAAGATGCATGACATTTTTTGCCGGGAAAAGAACACCTTCCCGTCATTAAATGTTTCTCCTCTCCCGGCCTGATCCCTAGACGCGCCGGTCACTTTCAGAGAGCGGATGTGTAGCCGTCCGTCCGCGTCCAGGCGACAGCGTGATCCCTGCAGTGATCCCTGTGCTCTCTTGCAGGTGTTCACCTTGCTGTGGATCGCCGACTGGATGGTCCGGCACTTCTGGAGGAAAGGCAAGGACCCGGACAGCTTCTCCATCCCCTACCTAACGGCACTGGGCGACCTGCTCGGGACAGCGTTGTTGGCCTTAAGCTTTCATTTCCTCTGGCTTATCGGAGATCGAGATGGAGATGTTGGCGACTAATAAGTCCTACAGACTGCTCTCAAGTTACCAAGAAGGAAAACACAAGATAAACCACCACGGTCTTGACTTCTGTCAGGGTTCTCTGCGGTTGGTCCCGATCCAATTAAATGGCCTTAACATTTTTTAAAGGAATTTGTGTTGAAACCAGAATGAACAGTATTTATGCTAATTTCACATAGACATAGATACAAGCTCAAACTCTGAAATTAACTAAATAGAAAAGAATATAGGATGTTTACAATGAATAACTTTAAAACCACAGACATAGCAGAAATGTACTTAATTATTGTTTAACTTATAATGCCAGTTTAGAGAGTTCTAGTTTAGCCTTTCTTGTTGCACAGATGTGTCACACCTACTGCATCGAACACCATAAAATGAAAGGGGCCCAAGCAAGCTTGTAATAGTTTCCACTGCACCCGCCTCTCTGCTAGCTGAGGATAAATTTGCCAGTTATTGGCTCCTGACCTGACCTAAATATGTTCTCCTGAGCATAAGATAGATTCACGTTGACGTGCTGCTATGAATTTCCTTGTGCCAATGCTAATTTCATTTCATCTCTCAGAGCCCTTGGCAGGCTGCCCTTGAAACACTATCATGACCTTGAGAGATCTTTAATGAAAGCAGTGGGTCATTTTTGGTCATCGATTTGTGGAAAGAATGTTGATCTTTCTCAGAAGACTTAATAGTCAAGAACCGGAGATAACCCGAGCTGCGTTTGTAGAGACAAGACGTGTGAGAAAGTGTGTGTGTGTGATAGAGATGAAGAAACTTTCGATGGAGAGCGGAATCTTGGCTTGTTGGTAGCAAAGATCATAGTGCCGTTAGAATATTAGCATTATATAGTTATTCTTAAACACATTTTATTGATATACTTTGGTCATTTGGTCCAAAAATTTTGTTACTGCCCAGAACTTAGTATTTCTTTACCTACATTATAATAGTTTCTTCTTATTAAAAACAACTGCACCACTTAATGTAACATAAGATTTAGAATGGGCAAGTCATTCATTCGTTCTTCTGAAGTCGATGGAGACGTTTGGGTTCCCCATTCTAAGAGGGAAGTTGGCGGGTTACCTCAGCGGTTGCTCGTGCCTGAACATTTATGTCATCTGTTCACATGGGCTCATTTCCACAGGCTCTATCAGGTACCCTGCTGTGTCAGGTAGTTTCTAAACGCTGCTCTAGGTTCCAGACGCTTGGCCAGCACACACCTTAGTTACCCAATAGGTAAGCATTTTTATATCACATATAGTTCATTTTTAAGACCATCAAATACTTAATGATTTAATTGACAAGGGAAGAAAAATGCACATCAGCTTCCATCGTCATGGTTTAAGTTGTGAGTTAGTGTTAAATATTGTATAAATAGTAGGTCATTTATACAAATACTGGGGAAGTGTTCCTATTAAGCTCTTTAAAATAAGGGGACTGTGGTTTAGAGTTATATATTTTTGCTTATTTTATAACTTTAATTATTCCATTCTTCTGCCTTGTAATGAAGCTTCTGAGGCAGAGAACTGAACGAATTATAGAATTTCTCCTTTGGAGAGTTATAATGTCACATAGTGAGCATTCTTATGAAAGAAAGAATGATTAAGTTAAATTGATGACTATTTATCTGCAAAGATTTTTTAATTTAAAAATCCATAAATAATTTATTTGAGTTTATTGTAAAGTATTTGTAAATTACTTGTTTGCTTTTGGGCCATATGATTCATAAGCATTTATATTTCCCAATGATTTATATTTTGATTTTTTTTAACATAAAATAGTGCACAACAAACCACATTTTAAAAAATTGATTTGAGAGAGAGGTGGAGAGAAACATCAATGTGCGAGAGAAACATCGGTTGCCTCCTGCACGTGCTCCAACTGCAGGTCAAACCCACAACCTGGGGATGTGCCCTGACTGAGAAATGAGCCCGTCACCTATGGGTGCACGGGATGGCGCTCCAACCAACTGAGCCACACCGTCCAGGGCCAGCAAACCACGTTTTTAAAGCATTTATCAACTTTAGTGCATTATATAACCTAAAGCACATTCAAATACACTGTATTATTTAGTATTCCCCACAGAACCTGTGAAATAGGGCAGGTAGATCTTTCTCCATATTATAGCAAAAGAAACTGAAACTCAGAAAATTACATTTTACAGGTTGCACTGCTGCAAAGTGACCAAATTGTGACTAAAGACTAGGTGTTTGATCTCCTAAGCCAGTGCTCCTTCTGTGACCCCCCCAAATACACCAGGAGTACCTAACTAGTTACCCGAGAGGAGAGCAACTGGAGAAACAGGATTATCTGAAGTAGAATAGAGTGTTGCTGCTGCTTTTAGATTTCAGACAGGGAAACCACTGATATATCTGGATGGTAAGTATAGCCAACTGTGAATGATTCATGTTCTAAGACCCAGGAAAACACAGATAAATGAAAACATCAGAATAAAGAACATGCCTTATTTCATAGAACATTTCATTGCCACCACCCTTCCCAGATCCAGCCGTTCTCCAAGGATGCTCATAAATAACTAGGATGACTGGTTTGAGTTATGTCTCCTTTCCCCATCTTGGTGACAGCAACAAAATGTCTAAAAGGCATGTAATAAGAAAAAAATAAAGACATGGAAAAATCAGTCATCGATTAACTGAATTCATTTATAAGAGGGATGTAGATTCCTTTAAAAAATTTTACTGTTTTTTTGAAAGCCTTTCCATAAGTGTGCAACTGATAACATGACTTCTTTACCCACAAAACCCATTTATTATCAGTCTTAAAATAATGTGAATTCACAGTATTTATTTTTATCCAATATAAAAACTCCTGCTTTCCAAGCTTCCTGCTTTCACTAATCTACCAGGCACTTTATTTGCACACAGATAATTTTTTAAAAACCTAATTTTCAGCCTTGGCCACCAATCATTTTTCCTTTAAAAAAATCGTTTTTTAGAACATGAACTTAGTAGGGTAATGTATCTTTTGGAAGACATAAAAAATTCCACATCATAGACTACCAGTGATGTAGCCAAATGAAGTACATTTTAAAAAGTCAGTATTGGGCTTCCTTGCCGTATGATACATCTATGGTCTTATAGTCTATCCATTTACAATGGGCATCTCCCATTCTTGAATTGTTGTAAACTCAAATAGGAATAAAATTGAAGAAATATTTACCCAGCCTTGTTGTATGTGTTTTTTGATGAATCAGATGGACTTCGAGCCTGTGTAGGACTCACCTCGAAGAGACTGGGTGACCTGTGTATGCATGCTGTGTTTATGAGTCTAATACATTGGCTTTGACCGTACCTAGACATACAGTCCACCGCTTGACCTCTTTGTCACTGTTTCTAGCAGTCTCCTCACTTCCAGCTTGGATTCCTGGGCCCAGCAAGGCGCACACCCTCAGCTTCCACCTTCATGCTCTGCACAGCTCAGGCTCGGGACAGCTCGCCACCGAGCTCTGCCCGCCGTTGGGCGGCTGAATACGGCTGGTGACAAACACGTGGCTGCTCACACAGACCTTTACGTTTATCGCCTCACACATCAAGTTAACCCGCAGCTGTCCAGCAGCCGGCTGTTTCCCTAATCATTTCTCTCTCTGGGGGATCAGGCTTTTGTCCCCACCACTCAGCTGAAAGTGTTCCTGTCGAGGTCACCAGCAGTCTCCATGTTGCCAAATCTAGGGATCAACTCTCAACAAGAATTCTCATCTTACTCGGTCTCTAAAAGTATTCGACAGTCTGCTTTCTCCATTTAGCTTCCAAAAATGTCCACCTTTTGCTTTATTTTCTGCACCCCTGGAAGCCCCTTCCCAGCCCCGCTGCTGGGTCCTCCTCAATCTCTTAAGTGTTGGAACGGCGTACAGCTCGGCTCTATTACCTCTTCTCTACTCGCCTTCGGTGACCTAACCCACCTCGTTGTTTCAGATATTCCCAAATTTATTTCTCTAGTCCAGGCGTCTCACCTGAGTTCCAGATTTATGTTTCCAAATGCCTGCTGGACACCTCCGCTTGCGTGACTGCTGGGTACCGCAAACATTTGAGCAACGTTTCAACCACTGGGCCTAATGGACACACAAACTCCTACCTCCAACTGCTGCAGAATACGCGTGAAGGGCTAATCTCCTTAATATGTAAAGAACGAATATAAATCAGGAAGAAAAAGGCCAACAACCAAGTAATAAAACAGCCAAAGACAGATGGTTCATTAAAAAGAAAAAAGATGCTCAGTATTATTCAAAGGGAAAGAAATGCTAATTAAAATCACACTGAGATACCATTTCTCACTATCAAATTGGCAAAAATTCAAAATTGGATAAAACATTCTTTCGGCAAGGCTGTAGGGAATCAGACACAGTTGCTGGTGGTGAATGGCAAGTTTACCATGATAAAAGCTCTGTCGAGGGGAGTCTGCCCACATCTCCCAGAATTAGGAGTTTATCATTTGATCCTGCAGTCCCACTGTTACCACATTAGATCCAGGCAAGGGAAGCCTCTGCCCCAGGCCCTTTGCCACAGGCAGCGGTTGGAATATAGCCACGACCCAAATCCAGTTCACTGCCTGTTTCTGTAAATAAAGTTCTATCAAATGCAGCTATGACCATTTGGTTCCATCTGTCTTTGGCTGCTTTGGCTCAACGATGGCAGAACTGAGTAGCTGCGAAAGAGCCCAGATAGCCTGCAACGCCTGAAGTGTTCACTGTCTGACTCCCTGCACACAAAACAGTTCACGCACCCCTGCTTGAGAGTGAATTCTTCACATTTTATTTCTGAATCTTCCTTGGGTACCTGGCACTAGCCAGGATCAGCAGTGCCATCAAGGCAGGGTGTCCCAACCTGAAACATCCTGCATGGGCTCCATCTGCAAAAAGCAGCTACCTGGACTCTTGGCTAATGACAGCCCAGGGTGATCAGACAGGGCTTGGGGAGCAGAGAATGAAGAAGGTGATCAGATATCAAGGGTATTCAAGTTCAAGGGTGGGGGTTCTGGCTTAGAAGGGGTCTTGCTGTGAGTGCGCTTTACGAGGAAGGCACAGATGGACCTAGAAGTTTCAGGGGCCTGACTAGCGTTGGAATCCTGGTCACCGTGCTGTGAACACTGAAGGAAAGCACATCTAGCAATGCAGGAACCACAGCCTAGAAGTTGAAGAGGTGACATGGTCCGAGATGTGTTAGTCTACATTTACACTATAAAATTCCAAATGGTAAAGTTAACATCAGAATTTTCCTACGTGCTTTTTGGGTAAGATTAGCATTTTTGGCTCCCAAAACAAAACACAGTAACAACCTTTGGGAAAGTAATTGGAAGCCAGTTACTCACCGGGGTTGAGATGGGTGATGTAACATGAGTAACAATAGAAACAGTATTAACTAAATGGTGTTAGGGAACCCCAGAGGCGAGAAAATCTATAGACTGTTTCAATACAGATAGGTTCCGAAGAGCCAGGGCATTGCAAGTAATCACAGTTTTGCTACCTGTAGCCTATCGGTGGGGAAAATTAGCAGGGAATGGCACAGTTGACAGTCACACAAAAAGACCGTGCCTGGACACTGAAGAATCTTTGCATTTATTGGACAATTGACAAATACGTAAGTTCCTCTTTTCTACTCATTTTATTAAATCTTCATTGGATATTAAAGGAAGACATTACCCAGAAGGCTGATGCTCTTGAAGCTATTTGGGGACACAAGAAAGAGAGCCCCATACAGCTTGCCAACTCAGTCACCAATTCCAACTCCGGGCAGAAAACTAACTGATTTATGTCAGGTCTGACATCCAATCAGCTGAGGCCAAGTAAGGGCAGGGGACATATGGTAATTGGATCGCCTCTTCCGCTAACAAAAGGAAGTAGGCAGAGGGAATGATTGTCACCTCTGGGGTGACACCAAGCCAGTCTGCACATCAGAGGGAAGGTGGCCTGAAAGGCCATTTTATCAGCTGCTAAGAATAGCTCAGAAAACAACCTTTGCTTCAGACTTTATGCAATACCATAACCAGGCACTTCCAGAAGTAAAAGTTGCAAAGTTATATAACTTAAAGCGATAAGAGCCGGAAAGAACCCCACCCCTGCCAGCACACAATGTGCATAAAAAATACTTGGATGATTTTTTCAGTGGTAACTTTCCGGCTGCCTCTAGATTGTTTAGGAAGCAAGATACCCTTAGGTTGAGTTTGGCTGAATCTCTCTTCCCCTCATATCAAAATGAGAGTTTCTATCAGTAAAACAGTGACTGGAAACAGCTCCAGACCGCCTCCTGGGAATGAAAAGCAAACGGATTCAATCTAACAGTTACCTTGTNCGGATTCAATCTAGCAGTTACCTTGTATTCCCGGAGCAACTCTGGGCCTGGGGCTGGGCAGATAGTAAAGTCCCAGGTGGGTAAAACCAAAGCCTTTAATGGTGATTTCCGGAAGTTTTTCTCTCCCGAGGGGGTAGTCAGGTAGCTTCGGGACCTAGGTCTCCTTGGTCTTGGGG